CCATCGAGTCGGTTCCACTCTTAGCGACCTTGTATAGGCTTTCTGAGGCTGTAATTCTATGTGGGAGCAGAAACTCTCGATTTTCTCCTAAAGAGCAGCTTGTGGGCTAGAACTGCCAACCTTGTGGTACACAGTCCTGTTCTTCTCCAATGGAGGCACCGTGCTCCCATTTTTAACTTAGATTTTAAGTTAATGAAAGTCTGATGAAAGAGAAGAATCAGAAAACTTTGATTCTGGTTCCAGCTTTGTCATCAGTTTTGACTTTGTTCAACTGACTTTAACCCTGTACAGTTTAAACCCCCAACTACAAAAAAAAAAAAAAAACACATTCGGACTAAAATTTACTTGAAGTCTAACAAGCTGAATTAAGTACAGTAGCATTTATATGCTCTCAAATTTAATTTCAAGTTTTAAAATTATAGAATTCTCTCACAAAAGGTAACATTTAAAAAAAAGTATATATATGCCATCTGTAATGGAAACTGTGGTATACTACCCAGGTACTCTCCATTCTCCTTCCGAACATGGGCTTCAGTTTTCAAGATTAAGCATTTATTTCCTACCCCCACCCTCAGCTATGAGAGTATTGCATACTGACAGTTCACTGCTGAGACTCACCCCAAGAACTGGCACCCACTAAAGAATGCTCCTTGCTTGTGTTTAAGCACCTCTCCCTAGGTATACCCCAACCTAATGACTGATCAATTGGAAGGTACAAAGGATAGAACCCTTGACTGGAGCAACCTGCAGATCCACACTACTGACCATATGGTTAGCAGCCTAGTTCATAATCTACTACGCTACCAACGTTCCTTCTACAAACCTATGACTGCTTAAAATCCAAAACAATACCACTAAATGCTAACAAGGAAGTGGTACAACAGGATTTTTCACTCACTGCTAGTGGCAATGCAAATAGGGCAGTCACTTTAGAAGACAGTCTGGCAGTTTATTACAAAGCTAAACATTATCTCAGTATCCTACAGTCCAGCAAGAACACTCCTTGGTGTTTACTAAAATGTGCTTAAAACCTATGTCCACCCAATTATCAGCACGTGAATGTGTACAGCAGTATTATTAATAATTTCTAAGAATTGAAAGCAACCAAGATATACTTTACTGGATAGGCAAACAGAAATACCAAACTGGTATACCTCGAAAATATTATTCATAATAAATAAGCTATCAGGTCACAAAAAGACATGTTGTTGTTGTTAAGTGCCGTTGTGTCAGTTCCAACCAATAGTAACTCTGTATAGGGTTTCTAAGGAGCAGCAGGTGAGTTTGAACCACTGACCTTGCAGTTTAAACCGACTGTATTCCAGCACATTACCCACAAAGCCATACTAGGACTCCGCAAAAAGACATGAAGGAGCTTTAAATGCATATCACTAAGTGAAATAAGACAATCTTAAAAGGTTACACACTGCATGGTTCTAACTAGATGGCGTTCTGGGAATAGCAACACTATAGAGACAGTACATAGATGAGTGGTAGCCAGGGGCTTATGGGACAAGATGAGGATGAAAAAGTAGAACATGGATGATTTTCAGATAGGTGAATTCATTTTGTGTGAGACCATGATGGCATATACATATTGTTATGCATCTGTTAAAGCCCGAAGACTATACAGCACAAAGAGTGAATGAACACTAATGCAAACTAAGACTTTAATCAGATTATCAATTATAACAAATGTAATGCACCAAAACAAGGTAATGATAATAGTGAAAACTGTGGAGTGGGTAGATGTAAATTATCTCCACTTTGTGTACAATTTTTACATAGATCAGAAATTGAATTAAATAATAAAATTTATTAAAAACAATACACACATTTCTCACTTATCAACATGCTTAGGCTACAAACACCAGGTCACTATATGAAAATTAGAGTTATGAGAAATGTTGCCTCAGACTCCAGGCAACATTTTGGAGATGACATAACTGGACTGCTCCCTCCCTTGTCTCTGCATCTTGATTTCTGTACTTCAGGGGGGCAGGTCATCTTGGGCCATTTTGAACCTAATGACTGATCAATTGGAAGGTACAAAGGATAGAACCCTTGACTGGAGCAACCTGCAGATTCACAGTAGGAACGGCTGACTGGATCAGAATTTGCAGCCAGTAGGAGACCTACCCTACCCCAACCCATGCAGAGTTCTTACTCTCCATGGAAATGCCACCCACTCAAGACCACTGTCTGCTATTTCCCCCACACACACAATGAGTACATCTCAGGGTATGTGGTGAAGTGGTCATCGCATGTCCTGTCTATGCCCTCTACCTGTGCAATCTGCTGCCTTCTCCCAAACTTGAAGGCCAAAGCTGTGGTTCCTCTCACATGGAGAGGCTACTATGAGTCTGCAGGCCTAGGCTGAATTCTGAAAGGACACAGAGCAGGAGTGCAAGTTACTGGCTGGTCCGAAGCTCTGGTGTCCAGCCATTTTTCTCCTTTATTTTTAACTTCATTAGAATCCAAGATTAAGGAGAGGGGTGAGATGAAAGAAACAAAAATTTGGGGATTAGATGGGAGGTATAGCCTCTCATTCAAAACACCTGGTCCTTCTTGAGCTTTATGTTGTTGTTAAGTACTATGGAGTCGGTTCCAACTCATAGCGACCCTGCACAGGGTTTCCAAGTCTGTAAATCTTTACGGGAGCAGAAAGCTTCATCTTTCTCCTGCGGAACAGCTGGTAGTTTCGAACTGCCGACCTTAAGGTTAGCAGCCCGATTCATAACCACTATGCTACCAAAGCTGCCTTCTTGAGCTTTATGGTCATTTAAGTAGATTTTTATGTAGTTTTATATGCAAATTGTCAGATGAGATAGCTGTTAAGTAAGGTGTGGTGCTGTGGGTTAATGCATCAGACTGCAAAGTCATTTGAACTGCAAGGTTGGCAGTTCAAGCTCACCAGCTTCTCTTGGAAACCCTATACAGGGTCGCTATGGGTCAGAACCGACTCGACAGCATTTCACAACAACAATATATATTAGGAACATACTAATTGATTAGGACTCCCGGTGTGGCTCTGTAGCATAAGCACTAGACTAAGAACCACAAAGTGGGTAGTTCAAACCCACCAGCTGCTCCTGGGAAACTCTATAAAAGGTTGCTATGAGGAACTTACTAGACAGCACTTAGCAACAACAATTGGTTAAAAATATTTCATGAGCCAGTTAGTTAGCTGGAATCTCCATTGTTTACACCAAGTTTATTTTACTTTATGTCTCCAAGTTATTTTCCACTTTCTCCCCCATGCTGTTGTTGTTCTTATTAAGTGTTACGGAGTTGGTTCCAAATCATAGCCATGCTGTATCAGGTTTCTGAGGAGTGGCTCATGGGTTTCAACTGCCAACCTGGCAATTAGCAGTCCAGTGCTTACCCTATAGTGTCACACCAAGGCTCTGTACACAGCATTTTATTTCTCCAATTTTATTTTCCATTACCTCCTCTATACACTATCTGGATACTAATTATATTGGACTTTACCTTTTCTAAAAAACTGCCTGGATTTTCTAATGCATCCTCCTCAATTCAGATACCCCCTTCTTTTCTTAAATAAAATTTCTTTAAAAATGCTAAGTTGTTATTTGTTATATATAGTGTCATCAAGTTGGTTCCAACCCATAGCAACCCAGAAAACCACTAAGAACATATGAGAATCATACACATAGAGAATTGTACACATATGAGAACATGATATACTTCATAAAAGGCAAAGCGCAGATATCCAGGGAAATGTCTGCATTTTGAATCAATAAGATTTAACTAATAAACTTAAATCTATCTCTTCTGAATTGCAAAGTAACAGTAAGTAAATATAAATGCAAATTTCAGAATAGATCATCATATTTCTGTATGAAATAATGGCTTCCTTAAACATTAAGGATATTGTGACAACCTTGACTAATTTTTAGAATGAGGTGGAATACACAAAGAAAGAAAAAAAGTACATTTCATTCTAAAAATGTTTTAAAGCAGAAACCAAATTTCTTACCATTGTAAGGGTAAATGGATGATTTTCTAATGCAGATACACTCGGACAATGTAGGATAATATACTAAAAAGAAACAAAAGGATAATTATTAAATGACCAAGAATGAACTCAAATACTCTAAGGATGCTATGTCTACTCATTTTCAAAAACTCTATACTAATAAAGGACATTTTGAAAAGTTGTGGACCACTGACTCACCTGACCAGGTCTTGCTTTAAAATTTTCTTTGACCATTCGAATTTCCATGACATCTGAAGGATGACTTATGACAGAGATGATTGTGACAGGCTTGTTGCTCCGGATACATCTGTAAAGCCTTTCAGCACAGTATAGGCACAAAGGGCCAGAAATCCAAATCCAAGTCTAACAGAGATATTTTTGAAGATGCACTTTAAGAAATAGTTTCATTTTAGGAATTTTTAGAACCTGCACAATTGCTTATTTCATACATTTCCATAATAAATTTTCAATCTGTACCTTAAATAATAAAAATAAAAGAATAAAAAGTAGTGGGTACTCACAGCCACCCATTCAAATAAGACAGAGATAAAAATGAACAGGAAAACTGATGTCAAGACCCTACTATCAAACCTGTGCCCAAGTATAACTATCATTAACAGAGAGATGTACATTATACTTTCATCAGTGACCAGAGCAAACATATAATGCGTATATACTATTTCTCTAAAAAGAAGTCAATTGAAAGCACAGATAAATCTGAACATGATTCCAGAAAAAAATGTACACATCCAATGTTTATCAATAAAATAAGTCCCTAGATACTTCGTTAATTATAATATATATAGATATAGATATATAAATATGCTAGACATTATTTTTTGCAAGTTAATTTTAAACATTAACATAATAAACAGAGATATTACTTAGAATTCATAAACTATGACAATTGTGATGGTGTGCTAGACGAACAGTACTGAGTACTATGGGAAGTGTATTGTTCTGTATGACTAATCTTTCTCCTATAATTGCACACTCTATCTCCCTCATTACTTTGAAGCCTCCACTCAAAAATCAACATCTTAATGGTCTCATTTTAAAACTGTATTCATATAGTTGCCCTAGATCTGCCACTTTCCATGTAAACAGATCAAGTTTCTTCCTCATACAATGGCATTTAGCCCAACAGTTTGGCATTTGAAGAGTAGGCATCTCAGGGCAAGCTCTGCAAGATAGCAAGCTTGCAACTTTGGGACAAGCAACCTTTAAACAGCAAGTGCAACATGACTAAAATAGGAGTCTCATGCTTGCCCTGTCTAGCATTCAGCACTATGTGAAGAACAGAATAGTTCTAAGAAGACAGTGTAGGATAAGCACTGGACTGTTACCCTCCAAGCTGGTGTTTCAAATACACCAGCCACTCCTCGGAAACCCTATACAGGCTCGCTATGAGTTGGAACTGACTTGATGGCACTTAACAGGAGGAATTTAAAGATTATTATTAATAATAAACACAAGACTAGCACATTTATTCTAGACTCATCCTCAGATTGATTCTACATTTAGGCTCCCTCCTCTTCTCTTTTGAATATAGAAATCCAGAGCCACTAATTTCAGAACTCTATTTTGCATAGGTAAGAGTTGTTGTTAAGATTAGGGCCCTTATTTAATTATTTTCATGGAGAAATTTGAAAAAGAGAGCCCTTGCATTCATAGGATGCTTTACCATTTATAAAGTACATTTAACATGCATGGATCTAATGGCTGCACAACAAATCTTGGAGTCCTTATCATTTCTTGTTAAATGCTGTTGAGTCCGTCAGTTTCAACTCATAATGACTCTATAGGATTTCCAAGGAGCAGCAATTGAGCTTGAATCACCAACCACACAGCTCGAACCAACCTTGTTGCCCAGCACATTAACCCACAGTGCCATTATATGTACAATGAGTTGAGATTCTAATGACTTAAACAAATTACTTGAGTTAGGGAAAAATTCAGAAAATAAAACTCGGTTTTACAACTCCTAATCCAAGGTTATTCTCACAGTGTTTTTTTCTCCCACAGTGCTTGAATGACCTCCAGGGAGTATCTTTTCATGGTAACATGGCTGTACACACAGGAAGTCAGGGGAAGAAACTCTCCCTTAGGGACACTACATAAAAGCCTCAAGGTTTCTATGTTGCCTCGGGCAACTTCAGTTCACAGATGGTTGTTTATCTTGAACTCATTCAGAGACAGGGTCTTGCTTTACTATATTGTTGCTAAAAAAAATACACAAGTCTTTGAAATAAAACCATTAAACTATAAAAACAGGGGTAACATTTATCCCATTTTCTGGGGGAAAATGTTTAGGATTTAAAATAAACTGACAACTATTTAATGGGCCCTCGGAAACCCTGTACAGGGTCGCTATGGGTCGGAACTGACTCGATGGCACTCAACAACAACAACAACAATTTAATGGGCCAACCACAGTGGGCTTGTATTTCCCAAATAACCTAAGAGGCAGAAACTTTAGCTTTAAGAAGAGCCACCAGTGAAGAGTTCAGGCACTTTGAATCCAAAGTATGAGCAGAACTTCAAAAGGGAAGTGGAATGGTGAATAGTAAAAGAAAGGAGTGAGAAAATGCAAGGAACGTGCTGCCCATCAGGCCCAGCAACATCTAGTTTTTGGGTAAGGACATTTCCCTGTGTTGATGAAAATTTATATATATATATTTATAAAGTAAGGACTTGAGAAAAGACAGCCTCTGAAAAAATTTGTGTTTGTGTACCAGTGGAGCTCTCACAACCCAATTTGTGGTTTCCTTTTGCTGATATGAAGAATGGTTGTGAGGAAGTCAACATTACGCTTCTGTTTTTCTGCCCAATTTTACTGTAATTATACTCAAAGGAGCTCTGGTAGCGTAGTGGTTACAAATTGGGCTGCAAACCTAAAGGTCAACCGTTCAAAACTACCAGCTGTTCCGCGGGACAAAGATGAGGCTTTCTGTTACCATAAAGATTTACAGCTTCGGAAACCCTGTACAGGGTCGCTATGAGTCGGAACCAACTCCACGGCACGTAACCAACCAACTAATATTCAAATACGAGCTCCAGTAGAGCAGTAGTTAAATACTCAGCTGCTAACTGAAATGTTCCAACTCATCAATCCACTCCATGGGAGAGAGATGTGGCAGTCTGGTTCCTTAAATCTAGAAATTCTTCAGCCTGAATAATCCTGTGGGGGGCTCTGCTCTGTCCTAGTCACTATGAGTCTGTAACAACTTGACACCAAAATGTATAACACAAATATTCAAAAAAAACATTCTTATCATTCTGTAAAAATAATTACTTTATATAGTCTCAAAAACAAAGAAATGCAAGTTTGATCAATCATTACGGAAACACAGACTCTGTGACTAATTAGGATTTAGGATTAACTCAACCTGTGGGAAATTAGCTTGGAATCTGGGGGCTTCAGCACAAATCTTCACAAATTTATTCCTGGTAAGCTCATCTGGTTTTGAAAAGTCTCCAGGGAAAAGTCCATGAAAGTCTTCTGATAAGGGAATATTCTGGTAGCGGGTTCGGTTAAGATTGATGCAGCCAGGAGGGTGAGTATCTAAATTAGTCTGATACTTCAGCAGCCCCCTAAAATGAAGAGAGAAAAAGGTGAGAAAAAAATATTTAGATCATGAGACACGGTAAAAGAAAATAACCTGTTTTTGGTAACTTTGCACATTTTTTTCTGAAAAGTATTCCTCTATCTTATTTAGAGGAGACTGAAAAAATCTTAAAATGTCAAATAAATTATTTGACTAGGAAACTAAATGAAATTTTCTGGCTTCCCCAACAAATGCTACAATGATATGGTATGGAAGACCACATGCACTCTACCTATTCTTGAACTTGACAGCCTTCACTTCAAGTCTGTTAGGCTTTCATACAACCACATACAAGTTTTCACTTCAATAAACTTCAATAAACACTGTAATGAAGAGGGACTTTGTCATAGTCTTCAAATAGAAATAGAAAAGTACAGGAATCTAATTTGGGTAACATTGGATAAAACAGGCTTTGCTGATTTCGAGAGAAATGTTCAGCAAAAATCGTAACAGGACCTAGAAGCTTGCTTCCCCTATGGTCTCAAAACAGTTTACACACAACAATCAGCTCCTAAACCAGTTTGTTTTTTTCTTTCCCCAGACACAGGATGCCATAAAAGTTTCAAAACCATACTATCTGGCAAGAGAGCTTAATTCCCTGACATTGCATTCTGACTCTGCCTTTGTGTGTGTGTTATCCTAAAACAAAGCATTCAACTTTCTGTGTTCTCTGTATTTCCTCCTCCTAAGAACTACCACCTCATGGTATGGTGGTGGTGGTTATGTGCCATGGATTTGATTCTGACTAATAGCGACCCTGTACAGGGTTTCCGAGTCTGTAAATCTTTACAGGAGAAGAAAGCCTCATCTTTCTCCTACGGAATAGCTGGTAGTTTCGAACTGCCGAACTTGCAGTTCGTAGCCTGATTCATAACCACTATGCTACCAGAGTTCCTTACCTCATGGTATACAGCACCAAAAAGAGCACAGTTTCATAAGAAAATGTTGAAAAAATAAGGTTATGAAAAGTATTGAAAGCTTTGCTGTGAGTTTTATTTTTACTTCAGAGGATATAAAATATATTTTGCTTCTAAAATGACTTTTGTTCTGGTTGGCTAAAGAGCCCTGGTGGTGCAATGGCTAAGCGCACAACTGCTAACCAAAAAACTGTCGGTTCAATTCACCCCACTAACTGAACCGCAGGAGAAAGATGAGGCAGTCTGCTATAACCCATAGGGCCACTATGTGTCAGAATAACTCAATGGCAGGTTATGTGTGCGTGTTTCAAAGTATGTGTTATCCAGGGCATGGAAATACTTCATTCTAGTCCAACCTCCTACTGAGAATGTGTGCTTCCACCCCAGATACACTGAATCATAATCTACATAAGCTACAGCAGGAGCTCATAAGGGTCTTATTAATGCATAACAACTACCTGAGGATCTGTAAGCATCACCTGGCAATCTGGCTGAACTATATATTCTGATTCAGAATATATGGAGTGGAAATGTAAATTCTCAACAAGGCGTTGAACCATAATGGATCAGTTTGAAGTTCTGGTATTATCTTCAAATTACAAAAACTATGTTAGATGAATAATGAGACTAAATAGATAAACTATAAGCAAGTTAAGAATGCAATGGTTGGAGCAATCTTTGATGGAATTCACCAGCTATTTAACCTGATCAATTTCCTTTTTCTCCCATTTGTTTATGTTCAGCTTCCTTTCTCTCTTCTTTTTTAATTTGCTTTCTTAGTCCAAACTAATCATCATAAAGTCACTGTTGTTGTTGTTAAGTGCTATTAAATCAGTTCCCATTTCTAGAATTTCCAAGAAGCAGCAATGGATTTGGAATGCCAACCTTGTGGTTAGCAGTCCAGTGCTTATCCTGCAGCACCACACCACAACTCCCATAAGGTCATTGTTGTCATTGTTATTAAGTGCCATGGAGTTGGTTCTAATGCATAGCAAAGCTATATAGGGTTTTCAATGAGCAGCTAGTAGATATGAACCACTGACCTTGTGGTTAGTAGTCCAGTGTTTTCTCAACAAGGCCACACCAGGACTCCTGACATGAAGTCATCAGGAAGCATATAGTACATGTCAGGGGCATCTAACAAGTAGACTGCACTGCACCACATCCTTCTATGGTACATCACATACACACACTTTTCTGTTTTAAGTAACGGCAACAGATATGACTTAAATGTGGCATAAATTGGTGATAGTCCATTAATGTGAGTCAAGCATATAACATTTTTCTTTTTGTAATAGGTAATCCTTCACAGACTTCTAATCCAAAATAATATACAACATTATCTTGGGCAACCTATTTTAATTTGATTCAGATTCCATTGCAATTAATGATTTATTCAAACTGTAGAATAAGCACTGGGCTGCTAACCAAAAGTTCAGTGGTTCAACAACCTCTTTAATAAATGTGCTGGCAGAACTGGAAAGCAATATGTAAAAG